TCGTGCATGCATGCACGCTATAAATTCCGGTTGCGCGATTAGTTAGCTCTCTTAACCAGCTGTTGGAAACTCGGGGTTGCGCGATCAGAGACACAAGCGAAGTAAGAGGTGAGTAGAGTAGGAGTCGGGCGACCCGACAAGCTGGTGCCAAACGCGCGGGGTTGACGGGGGCCACGACAAACTGTGGGTGTGGGCGAACCTAATAGGTGCGGGAGGACCAAGCGGGGTGACGGCTTCATGGGTTGGTGCACGACGATGGACTGTCCGCATCAGAGAGAGAGAGAGAGAGAGAGGAAGAGGGAGCTGAGGGTGATGGACGCAGATCTGCTGTTTCTTTTATCTTTTCTCCCTCCCCGTTCGTGTATATAAATTTTGATTTCAACTCCGGGTGATTTGCCTGTTTCTGCTTCTCGGAATCTGGATTTGGTTTTTCGCTCACCCTTGTCCGCGCAATTTCCCGTCTGGGATATAGTGTATGAATGTATGAATGAATGAATGGTTGTCATGTCTGGTTGCTTACCTTTCTGCCAGATCCTTGCATTTGCCTTTGTTTACTGCCTTTGATGCACTCATGAGCAGGATACGAATTTTGTGCAATCGTTAATCCTGTTCTCGTTTTTGCTTATCTTTTGATTGAGCTGTTATGGTTGTTGCATCTTGCATGCTCGAAAATTACGGAGTGATTAGACAATCGAATGACTGGCCCAGCGAATGCCGCGCGAAGACGCGTGTAATCACGACCTGATTGGTGCCTTCACACGTGTCCCCGTGCATCGATTCGTCAATTACAGGAGTATTGTCTGATTGGATACGGCCATCCGGGGTCTGCGACGGAGCAGTCATCCCGTGCGAACACGTGTAAGCGCGACTTGATTCACGCAGCCTGCACGTCCTCGCAGGCGGTGATCGCAATCGACACAGACCCGCCCTTAGGCATCTCGCAGCTCTGCGATGACATAATGACACACTCCGAGAGATCGGAGTCGTTGTTGTACGGCCCATACTATTTCACCCCTTGGATAGAGGAAAGCCTCCGACAGAGATACCCTTGCCTAACAGAGAATCGACTGTGTCCTAGGGAGTTTCACCGCGCCACCACTAGCGACCCCCGGTTGTCTGATTTCCCCACTCAGGACCACACCCACTACTTCACCCACCCCGGATTTGTCGTTATCTCCACCAGCTTCCCTCCCTTTCGTCTTCTTCTTCCGTATCATCACTCAGCGTCGTCCCGTGGAAGGCCTTAGCCCCATATTGGCCCAGCACGCCCTGCGGAAATTGCCGATGACGTGGCGACCAAAGAGCTTCGGAATCCCGAAGGCCTAACCTGAACGCGCGACGGCCGGCGCCACGTGGCAACTTCCAACGGCCTGACTCATCGGAACCCCACCCACCCCGGAGGGAGCTTTCAGCGAACCGCCGTCCTCGGAACCAATGGCTTACCCGGCCTTGAATGACCCGCGCATGCCATCTGCCTTATGACCAGAGGCGGTCCGCCTTCTCCGCCAAATTGCACTTGTGCCCCCGAAAAACTCTGCCACAGGAGATCTCAGTTCTGACCTGGGACTCCACCCCCACTTTCCCAAAAATCCTTGGCACACCCCTTTTCGCACTTCCAGGCCCACATCCTACTCCGATCAGGAAGTCGCGTTGGGCGTGAGGTTTGGGCGTCACAAGACAGCTCATCACAGCGATTCATCCCACATCCTGATGCATCCATAGCCTCCGTCCATTACAACGTCGAACGCGTGCACTGACAGAGCTTCAAGCGATGGCCACGTACAAACACCTGCACAGCCGCCCACACGACAACACTGCGTGAAGGCTGGATATGCACTATTATCTCCCATGCAGACCTCAGGATTTTGAATTCCCCGGTTGACCTTCAACAGCACGTCCCAAAAAAAATTGTCGTTGCTGCTTCCGTCGCCTGTCTGCCTGGGACGCTGCATCGGGACTCCAAAATCCATCGCACGGTGCCATGGACGGCATGCACCGCCACACACGGACAAGCTAACCCGAAAGGCTAGCATGTCCACTGGTCCATGCAGGCTGTCCATGCTTTCCTTTTCGGGAGGGGCCCCTGTCGGGTTTCCTAAAATGGCAAGTGAGGCTGTTTCCAAAAGACATGGTCTTCACAAATCGTGCCAAAAAGTTTCCACGGAGGTTGGCCAGCTTTTTGTAGCCACTTTCCTCTTCCAGCCGCCGGCCAGTGGGGTCCAAGCCTTATGCATTTCGAAGTAAGTTTCTGCAGTCCAGTCAAGGAGCAATGCAGTTGAAACTGGGGTGAGCAGTAAGGTCAAGCTCAGGAGTTGGCAACTGCAGTCTTGTCAGCCACAGTAGACGTCCTAGCAGAGGCCCTGACACAGGCCTGGCAGACCACGATAAGCTTCAGGCCCGTGTCAGACTGTGAATTTGAATTTATGCGGAGTCGTTGTGGACCCTCACATGCACCACAGGGCAGCAGGCGGGGCAGCAGTGGGCGCCAGAGTGGGAGCTCTCTCTCTCTCTCTCTCTCTCTCTCTCTCTCTCTCTCTCTCTCTCTCTCTCTCTCTCTGTGTTTCTCTCTCTCTCTCTCTCTGTGTGTGTGAGTGGCTTTTTACAGTAGTCTCTCGAATGCATGTTGCTCAGGACCTCAGGTGATGGTCTCGATACATTCGGAATTGGCAGTCTGACTCTAAATATCGATGTAATGGACTGTGAATTTCGAATGTAATGGGACCATTACCTTAGCAACATGCATTCCGTAGTCTCTCCAATTCATGTGGCTCAGGACCTCAGGTGATGGTCTCGATACATTCGGAATTCGCAGTCTGACTGTAAATATGGAATGTAATGGACACTGAATTTCGAATGTAATGGGACCATTACCTTAGCAACATGCATTGCCCGTGACCACTGTGAAAACACAGAGAGAGAGAGAGAGAGAGAGAGAGAGAGAGAGAGAGAGAGAGAGAGAGAGAGAGAGAGAGAGAGAGAGAGAGAGAGAGACGGGCGGGAGCGTGAAGCAGCGGGGTCATGCCTACCTCACCAAAAACGTGTTTGGCGAGGTAGTGGGGCCATGCCTACCTCACCAAACACGTTTTTGGTGGGTAGTGCGGGGAGGCCCGTAGTGCGACTACGCCCTGATCAGAGGTCGCGCGTTTTTCGTTTTGTGCTGGACTGCGGTGAGGCCCGTAGTGCGAGTACGGGCTGATTAGAAGTCAAGAGTGTTTTTTTTTTCCTGCTCGGCTGTGTTTTCTTTTTGTTTTTTTTCGAGAAAATCTCGACTGTGTTTTTTTTTTTTTTAAAAGAGCGACAGCCTTGAGATATTATCATTGAGGTGGCCGGCCCTACCGTCTTCCCCGAGCACAACGCACCCTTATTTTGGCTGTATCTGGCCGGAAATATAGCTTGTATAAAAGCTAGAAGAATAGTGGCTAATATGCCATAAAGGGCTTGTTGTTTTAAACCAGCTAATATAGCATGATGAGCCCAAGTTACAGCAGCTCCAGATGAAAGTAGAATAAAAGTATTTAGAAAGAGTATTTAGAAAGGGGATTCCCCAAGGATCTAACACATCAATACCTTTTGGAGGCCAAATAGCTCCAATTTCTACGGTAGGCGCCAGACTTGAATGAAAGAAAGCCCAAAAAAAAGCTACAAAAAACATTAGTAGTACATTTTGCTTATAAGTTCCATCATCTGGATTCGAACACAGGTGTGCATTTCAACAGTTAATCAGTGTACCCACTGAGCTAGGCCATTGGGTGGACTATGTTTTCAAGCGCTCGTGATTTCTTTTTTTTTTGTTTGTTCCCCCGAGGGGGACGGCTGCGCCGTACTCTGCTGCAGTGCGATACAGAGGCAACACTGGAGGGGTCGAGTAAGCAAGCTTACTCGTACGACCCCTCCGTGGCCCAGAAAAAATAATTTTATATCGTGTGGTCCGATGGACCACGGATCAGATATCAAACTGATCAGAACAGATAAGTTAGGACTCAGGCCCAAAGGCGTCATCCAACTAGCAAAGTCTCTTGAATCTGGACGTGTTTGCGGAGAAGTGCAGAGTACCGAAGTAGATCTGATTTTCTGCATCGTTGCATAAAACACTTCCAGATTCAGGGTCTGAATCCAAGCCTCTTTGGGAGTTGGCCCCACCACGCGAGAGAGAGAGGGGCAGAGTACCAGCCTTTCGAACCGAGGCATTTTTCGAAAGTTGTCGGATGAAATTCGAAAGCCTGCCGTTCGGAAGAAACCCCCCTTCATCAACATAGGCCCCATTGAAATAAAAAGGCCCGATTGAAAAAAAAAATCCTTGGTTGAAACGCGTCCAGCTTTGCAAGTGGGACCTCGGCCCCGGAAGTTATCCTGGCAGCATCAGCCAGTTTAGCTTACAGTCACACGACTGCGATGCTACAAGTTTATCATTGAATGCACAACTACTAATCTGCTTCAAATACACAGTACAATGACGGAATTCAAAAGGACGAGTGTTTCGAAAGTTGACGAGGACTTCCGAAACATTCGTCCTTTTGAATTCCGTCATTGTACTGCCCGCGTGATAGGCGGGCACACCCCGACAAAAATGGCGGTTGTCAGGGTAGCGACCCTGACAGATGGCCATCGTGAGGGCCCATTTTCACATCGCGACACCACTGTCGAAATGTGCAAAATGAGAATGAACTTCCCGCTAGACGATGGCCAGATGCGCCCGCGCCATTTTTGTCCCTTTTACTGATATGCGGCCGCGCCATTTTTGTCCCTTTTACATTTCGTGAGTGGTGTGGGGATGCCCTAAGGCTTTTGAGTTTTGGGCCTACTTCGAAATGTGCGAATTGGGTCGAAAGGCTGTGGCGAAGATGGAGTCTCCATTTTTCGTCTATAGGACTCTCGTTGTTGGCAGGCAGCCCTAGAAACCCCCACCGCCGGTAGGTCTGGCGATCTATCTATATGCATTGAACTTGTGTCGGTGACTCGGTGGTCTAGGTGACTATCCAATCCGTGTAATAGGATGCGACGGTTGCTCGTCTTGTATCAGGCGGATAGTGTGGGAGAGCGAGATGGATGACTGCGCGGGGTATGCCACCTGGCGGGGCCATATCCATGATGGAGAGGCAATCGATTGCAAATTGGTATGCTTGGACTCGAAAAGTCGCGCCAAGGTGTCGGAGTTGTTTCTTCTTGGGGGTCCCGAATGTGTAGACGTCGCTCTCGGTCTTGTTGTCCCCGGTTCCGGTGGGTTTGTGAGCGAAGCATGCACTTCCAAGGTGAGGACGAGGATTTACAACAAGGTTGCAGATTTGGGAGGGTTGCGGGCTTTGCGTCTCGCAGCGAACATGGCGCGCGACGCCACGGCGGCATCTGGGGTGTCTTCTCCCCCATCATGGGTAGATGGGGTCGCCTGCGACCACAGCAGGAGGTTCTTGTTGACGTTGGCATCGGCAGATTGCTGTGCGGCGCTGCGCGAGTGCCAGGTAAATGACCTGTCATTTCCATGGCCGGGAGTCAAAGGAAGCGCCGGTTGGACGGGCAGATGGGACCTCCATCATGACGAGAGGAAGAGGCTCTTAAGAGATCTGCATTGCTTTGGCGGTTCCGAAGCCCTTAAGGTGATATGACGGCCCTGCAACTGCCTCGTCAGACTTCTCTTTTGTTTTTGAGTCACTGGTAGAGATACGATTACAGCGTCTCTCGTACCTGTGCTCATTATACCAGTCTGTGCATTGTCTGGCTAATTCCTCTCAATGTTTATCTCTTTTGAGTCATCGTCTGATGTCGGATGTTGGCCCGAATGGCTGTTTCTCCCATTTTGAGTGTGGTTCTCCCTTGTGGTTCTCCCTTCCCATATACAAGCTTTCTATTCAGGCTAGGGTTTCCCCGGGAAGAAACGTTACCGATTTTGGCATCGGCTAGGCATACTCTAGACTAAATCCGGGCACCATTCCCGCCAGCTACCTCCCAGAGAGTCCCGTGAAACTGTGCCTTCGAAATGCGACAAACTACCCAGGATCTAACTAAGCTTTTCTGTTTCAGAGATTCTGCTTCGCCATTTGACCATCAAACTGATGGACCAACTAGTACATTGCATTCTTTTTTTACTTTAAAAAAAAAAAAAAAAGGGCGACGGTCTTGAGATATTATCATTGAGCTGACCGACCCCAAGCAATTTATTAGTAGTTGGTTTCAATTGTCAAGTTCCATCATCTGAACACAGGTCTGTATTTCAACAGTTCATGGGTGTACCCACTGAAAATAGTGTCAAACATAATTTTATCTGTTCTTGACTCTGTTAGTGCATCTACTGTTTACGCGAGTGGTATGGGATTGTAATGACGCATGTTTTTATATCTGTTATTGACATTGTGTACCCAATTGGATTATCATGAGGTCGCAAAGCTGGAGCTTAGTTGCTGATCAACACAACATAGGGCGTGGGTTTAGTATTATTCAACGTGCGGTCGTGAGATGTGCGGACCCGATGATAGTAAGCGGTGCGCAATGGAATCATAGTCACAACTCCCATCCCTTTCCTCCCCCCCCCCCAACTCTCTATAGGGGACTTAGCCTCTGAAGTCCCGAATGAAGTCATAGATCGGTGCACTTGGGACTTTATATAACTGATTGCTTGATGCATTTGCGACTATATAAGTTTTGGCACTGGGGGGATGAAAAACGTTTGAATGTGGTGGGGTGGTAATTCGACAAAAGGCTTTTCCCGTACCTATCGAGAAAGGAGTTAGTCCCGGGAATCCCGAGTGAAGTCGTATTCAGAGGAATGCACACAGACACACTGATTGTTTGATGCATTGGCGACTGTATATTTTGGTGTTTGGGGGTGTGAAAAACGTTGAATGTGGTGGGCTGGTAAGCAGGTTGGAGAGACCTTGACGCACACGGCCAGTCGGCTCCGGAGGAAGGAGGTTAATATGCTGTATGCCCGACTTTTCAAGGTGGCTGGGTATAGGGGTCTGCTGGCGGGTTCTCGCATTGGCGAAGATACCGATTTTTGGCGCGAATATGATTGCGCTCTTGAGCGGGAATCTCCCGCCGCTCTTCCCGGTCCCAGACGCAACGCGTCTGAGCTGGCAGTTCGGCTTTTGCTGAGTTTGGACCAGGCGTGTGGTGGAGAGGTCCGGCAACGAGTGGAAGAGATTCTTCTAGGTGAGTTGCGGCTAGTAACGTCCCTGCCGACTCTTCCTTGACTGAATGGCAGTTTTGCGAACCTAGAGAAAATCCTGTTTCCCCCTTTAATTATCCTCCTCCTTGCTCTGCGCACGCCGGGGCGTCAATCCACGGAATTTGATATGCTTGATCCCGTTCGCTTTCTTCTCCTTCTTCGAGTTCTATTTTATTTCAAAAACTGTGTGCTTAGTTTATCATATTCGGGATAATCATCGGGGTAATAATCGCGCGTGGAATTCTATTGACGGAGCAGATTTTTTCGTCGTCCTCGCCTAGGTTAATGAGTCATGTAGCCTCGTCACATGTAGCAGAGTAGAATGTACTGTCGCCGGCGGGTTATTTGAATGCGGGCACAGTAGCTCGATCGAGTTCGAGAGGCCGCTGCAAGATAATCTTCCCTCATCACATCTCTTTTTTTTTTTTTTTTTTTTTTCCCCAGCCTATTGAAGGCCCTCTGGCGGCATTGCGGCTCGCACGGCTAATCACATGTCAGTTTGTGGGCGTGGCAATTTGAAATGGGGCATTTCGCTTCCTTCTGGGAGTGGTTTGAAAACTAAAAAAAGCGATGTACAATAACTGTTATCTGTCCATGGCATAAACGAGCGGGAATGTCTTGGATCGTTCCTCCGGTATGGCCTCGCAATAGTGCCTTCTCACAGGCTACTTATCATCCCTGGCGCTGACGGATATGATATCTGTACGGGCAGTGGAGTGGAACGATCCACTTTGAAATCTTCATTGACATTACTGTTGGTTGCCAGGCAGTGCAGTGGAGCGATCGGATTTCAAGAATGTGCCGGCGTGTCTACGTCCCACTGTTCGCCTCTTGGCTCTTCGGATTTTTTATGTGAATGTTTGCGCTTTTCCGCGCAGTATTTCGGCTCCTTAGAAGGTACACATGCTAAAAACTAACTGCATGCTATGCGATCGTGTTCTTTCATCCCTATCGTACTTGAGGCAAGCCTTCTTAGTCTCCCTATCGATGGATATGTAAACGACTGACTGACGATTCGTTGTTTTTCTCTTGCTACCTCTGTGAACCTTAACCCGGTCCTACATCGACGACATCAGAATCAGTTATGACCCATCGTTCATCTTGCGACTCGATTGCATAACCGAGCAAAGAAAGGAAAGGTATTGCCTCAACCAACATCTATTTTCCGTAAGCAAGTGAAATCAATGAATGATGGGTGGGGATCGCGTCTTTAGCTACGCCGGGTAGGTAACGTCGAGAGCATCGAGTGCACGAGAGGCAGAAGGAACGTTCAGGTGGGGCAAGGTATGTCCGATTTCCATTTATTCTAATGGGTGCTTATTGTACGTTCGTCTGTCGTCGCCTGTTGTGGTTGTTAACCGACCGGATGAAACGCGGTGCGCTGTCGTTCGCAGGATCGGAGGAAGGCGGGAATGAAATGTTGCACCAGATCGTGGAGGGAAGGAGTCGTTCGTGCCATGCAGAGCACGGTCGGGATTGATTGCCGAAGCGTTCAGGGTGTCGGCCGCGGGGCGCAGCGGAAGGCGCACGTCCACGGAAAAGCTACTGCTCCCGTCTTCTCCCTCGAGCTCGACTTCCTCGTTGTCTTCGACGTTTTCTGACGACTCCGAGGATGAGGAATGGCGCCTGCGTATGCAAGACAAGTTGAAGAAGGTGCAGAGCAAGAAGGATTCGGTGGTAGTCGACAAGCATCGTCGCCATGAGCATCGGCACTGTGGGAAGCGCGTCGTTGAACATCGGCTGGACTCTTCTTCCACATCGAGCTCGTCCTCGTCGGACTCCTCGGATGCCGACGTGCACAAGATAAGGAAGTCAAAGACGATGGTACATCGCCATCATCGCGGCAGCGTCAACATCGAGGATAGCAGCGATGGCGAACACAGGCGGCGTCGTCGTGAATCGCATCGTCATGAGGCGAAGGTGCATGGAAAGGTTTCTTTCTCGTGCGACTCCGACAGTAGTAGCGACCATTATCACAAGGTCGATAGCAGTTCCGCGAAACGAACTGAGGAGAGACGGCATCGCCAAACTGTGATCGCGGGAGATGAACACAGGAAGCAGAAGAATTCCGGTGGAGTCTCGGATCACAGTGAGGGCCCTCGTCTGAAGAAGACTAAGGTTAAAACGACCAACGTAAAGGTGGACAAGAGGACAGTACAATTGACTACCGACAGCGGTACCGAGAGCATCGTGGATGGCAGCGAAGAGAGTGATCGTGCTGGCTCGCGATACAGGAAGGAAACGACGCTCAAAATCGACAACATCAGCAAGTCGAAGGAGCAATTTGTTCACGAGTGCGACAGCAACCACGATCTTTCCAGCGCGCGCTTGACGAAGAAGACGACTGCCGCAGACGACCGAAAATCAAGTGACTCGGTAAAAAAGTCGTCCACGTTAAAGGTCGAGCACACGGTGACGGGGAAAACGACGGTCGACAGCGGCAAGAAGGTTACGAAGCAATCTGACAGTGAAGAGGGTGGCTCGCGATACAGTAAGGAAACGACGTACAAAAAGGGCAAGAACAGCAAGTCGAAGAAGCAGGTTATCGGCGAGAGCGAGAACGAAGACGATAGTTCATGCGCGCGCGTGACGAAGAAGACGGCCGCTGCAGACGACGGAAAGTTAAGTGACTCTGTGAAGAAGTCGTCCTCGTCCTTTTCAAAGGTCGAGCAGACGGTGACGGGGAAAACGACGGTCGATAACAGCAAGAAGGCGACTAATGCCAAGCAATCTGATAGTGAAGCGAGTGACCGTGGTGGCTCGGGATACAGTAAGGAAACGACGTACAAAATCGGGAAGGGTAGCAAGTTGAAGAAGCTGGCTATCGACGAGAGCGACAGTGACCACGATAGGTCCTACGAGCACATGAAGAAGAAGACGGCTGTGACGGAGGGCATAAAGTCGAGAGACTCGGTGAAGAAGTCGTCCTTATCCACGTCAAAGGTCGAGCACACGCTGACGGGGAAAACGACCGTCGACAGCACCGAGAAGGGTGTGAAGCAATCTGACAGTGAAGAGGGTGACCTTGTTGGCTCGCGATACAGTAAGGAAACGACATACAAAACAGACCAGAGGGAAAATGACGGCGGAGGACAGCAAGAAGGAGAAATGTGCCGAGCGATCTTACACCAAGGTTGGAGATGGTGGGGTGCATTATGTCTGCACCGGAGACGTCACGAAGGACTACGAGGGTAAGGGAAAGGCGTTCGATGAAAGCTCCTACTCGGTGCACAAGGACGTGCGGCAGAGAAGTAAGGACGAGACACACCAGTCGAAGCACGAATACAAAGAGAGCAAGGAGTCGAGGGAGGAATACAAGGAGCACAAGAAGCAGGAACACATGGAGGCAGAAAAGAAGCACAAGGAGGTGAAGAAGGATGTACACAAGGAGGTGAAGAAGGATGTACACAAGGAGGTGAAGAAGGATGTACAGAAGGAGGTGAAGAAGGATGTACACAAGGAGGAACACGAGACGGTGCACAAAGAGACGGAGTATAAGGAGCAAAGGGAGTCGAAGGAGACGGAGGATCTGAAGTCCTCTGGGACGAAGAAGGTCGACTGCACGGAATCGGATGAGTATCGCAAAGAGTTCAAAGGTGGATACAAGGAGGCGAAGGGCCAGCACAAGGAGACGAAGCACGAAAGCATTGCGACTGGCGACCATGTGCACCGAGGAAAAGAGTCGTACGTGAAGGAAACCACGACAACGATGAAGGTACACCTTTGCTTGTTCAGTCCAGTGCGGGACACTCACGGTACAACGGTAAATTGCTAAAAAAACGTGACACTGTCGTGACAAACAAATGTTTGTAAAGATGCACACCATCGTGATTTGGAGCTTGATCAGTGCCTGCACAATTGAAAAGGCAATGTAAATTCGCAAATGCACACAAGTTCTGCTTGTAGATCGTAATACGCTAATGGCTGCGAATGCTGGAAAACGGCCACGTGTTCCACGTTGGCAAAGTGCGGGGATAGTGTATGTCAACGGAAAGCGCCGAGGTCTCTGGGCGAGCACGGAATAAAACAAAAATTAAGCCGAAATATGTGGGCAAGGAATAGATTAACCAAAAATACCAGAGTCTGTATGCATAACATTGAATGATCCGAGAATGCCGAAGTCTGTACACACTGAACGCTACCATTCCCTATGAACTGTTCTTCCCTTTTCTTTCAGTAGCGAAGCACCGTCTGGCGGCTTACCGGGCATCCTTCAGGTAAGGTCTGGCGACTCTGGCCTGTCTTGTTCGTCCATTTCAAATTTCGTAACATTACTGTATCCACCTGGTTCCAGCAGGATTCGATCTTATAACCGGCATATGAACAGTTACTTTATGTGCATTGTGCCCAATTTCAGAACTGGCGACTCTGGCCTGTCGTACGGGACGCCGGGGACGGGTATTTGCCCAAATTCAGAACTGGTGAGTGACCATCTCATATGGCTGAACGGTGCGCTCACGAGCCGTTGCTGAACGGATCCGTGTTCGGATCTCTTTGGATCGGTCAGCGCGGGAATGATATGTCTTGTCTGTTTCACTTCCCATCCAGCTCGGTTTGTACACCGACGAACTGTTGCGGATCTCAGTTCGAATACCAAGAAACTCAGACGCCCCAGCTAATTTAGAATCGTTATAGGGATAATCGGAAGATATTGCTAACGAACACAGATTTTGGGTCTCTATCACACCGGTAGTTTTTGTGGTTTGCTCTACAAAGGGCTCAGGGTCATTTTGCGGCAGAAGACTTTAGGGGTGATTGACACGATAGTTTTGTTTAATTTCTGTTTTTCTGAAAAGAAGTTTTGTATACAAGGCCGGCGTCCCTCACATCAGAGTTGCGACCCTCAGGTCTGGGCTGGGAACTACGGACAGGATAGGTTTTTAATTGAGCCGTATCTAACAAGAGTATCGCTGTTCTGTATCATTTATCTTAGGACCATTATTCTAGACCATTTATCTTTTTCCTGTTCTGAAGTTAAAACTGTACTTTTCTCTCACATTCCTTTCACCTGGTTCCAGCAGGATTCGATCTCGGCTGCCCTCGGCTGCTGCCGGGGGGGATACACAGCTGCCTATGCAATTTATGCCTGCAGAGAATGATGTTACTCATTGAGCCATTCCATGTTGCTGATTGGTGCTCACTTTTAACAGATAGACAACAGGTCATGAGTTCGGTTCCAGTTCGAACCAGATGGATACAGTAAGGTTAGGGGCTCTGCCTCTTGTTTGGAGAAAAAGACAACATAAACCTTTGGGAAGAATTGATTGTTTGAAACTTGCTGTTCTGTTCTTACCTGCCAATTGGTCGTTTCAGATCACAGAGCAGTCAGATTCGGAGGGTGAATGGACAGAAGTTTCAGATCGGTACGGGCACAAAAGGTACGTCAGAAGGATGACAAAAACACGGAGAAGGAAGCACCATGACTCGGAGGACGACACTGAGGATGAGGATGAGTCGACGTTCACCTTAAAACAGAAACAACAGGAAAGCGTGAGGGGCAAGAAGCAGAGCTCATATGAGCGTATGCTGGGAAAGACCCATACAGAAACACAGAAAGAGGAGGAGACGAAAGAAGTGAAGAAAGACGTGAAGAAAGGAGAGGAATACTCTTCCCAACAGCACAAGTCAAGGGAGGAGCACAAGTCCAGGGAAGAGCACAAGTCCAAGGAGGAGCACAAGTCCAAGGAGGAGCACAATTCCAAGGAGGATCACAAGTCCAAGGAGGAGCACAAGTCCGAAGGAAAGGAAAAGGATAAGCACGGTGGTTCTTCAGAGGATGAATGGACGGAAGTTTCTGATGGACAAGGGGGCAAGAAGTGTGTGCGGAGGACAACCATCAGGCGTTGCCACAAGCATAGTGGGTGGGGTTCTGAGGATGAAAGTGACTACGAGTCTTGGGTGATCAAAAGGAGAGTGAAACGGGAAGAACACTGCAAGGGCCACGACGGTGGTGAAAGCAAGGAGACAAGCATGAAGATGACAAAGGAAGAGAAGAGAATTGCCCACGAAAAGAAGAGGCAGGAAGTGGATGGACACCATGCTGAAATTCAGGAAAAGCATAGGGAGAAGCGAGAGGTGGACAGGCGACACGCGAAGAACGAATCTCGTAAGGAGTCTCACAAGAAGGGAAGTGAAAGCGAGAGTGAATGCAAGGAGCGTAAAGAGCAGAAATCCAAGGAGGAGCACAAGTCAAAGGAGATCAAATGCAAGGAGGAATACAAATACGAGGAATGCAAGTCCAAGGAGCACAAGGAACACAAGTCCAAGGAGGAGCACAAGGAGCAAAAGTCAACAGAGGAGCACAAGGAATACAGATCCAAGGAGCAAGAGGAGCACAAGTCCAAAGAGCACAAGGAGCACAAGTCCAAGGAGGAGCACAAGTCCAAGGAGGAGCACAAGTCCAAGGAGGAGCACAAGTCCAAGGAGGAGCACAAGTCTATGGAGGAGCACAGATCTAAGGAGCACAAATCCACGGAGGAGCACAAGGAGCACAAATCGAAAGAGGAGCACAAATCGGAGCACAAGTCCAAGAAGGAGCACAAGGAGCACAAGTCCAAGGAGGAGCACAAGTCCAAGCAGGAGCACAAGTCCAAGGAGGAGCACAAGGAGCACAAGTCCAAGGAGGAGCACAAGTCCAAGCAGGAGCACAAATCCGAGGAGTGCAAGGAGCAGAAATTGAAGGAGGACCACAAATCGAAGGAGCACAAATCGGAGCACAAGGCATCTTCCTCGGTGGAGCACGAGGCCTCTTGCTCGTCGGAGCAGAAGGCCGCCTCCTCGTTGGAGCACCAGTCCAGCTCTTCATCACAAGAGAAGATCTCAAGCTCGGGTTTTAAATCCAGTTCGTCTTCAGCTAGCGAAGAGAAGAGTTCGGGGTCAGGCTCGAAGTCGAGTTCCAGTTCTTCGTTAGAAAGGAAGTCAAGTTCAAGTTCTCAAGAGAAGAGTTCGAAGAGTTCGTCGTCGGGAGGCACAGGAAGTTATTCGGTATCATATAGTGAGGAGGTTACCGAGGAAAGGATAAAGAAAAGCGGCGGTGGGAAGAAACAAGCGAGCAAAGCTCAGGAAGAAGAAGAGTGGGAGGAGGAGGTGATCGTGACCGAGGAGGTCATTGATGACTGTTATGTGCCAGACGGCGTGCCTTCCGAACAGCATATCTGGGAGGCTGATCAGCGATGTGTGGTKGTMAGTGAAGTGACGGGTATGSAGGCAGAAGGTGGGTCTTTGGGCGGACATTAYTTCAATCAGGAGTCCGACTATCAGCTTGAGCACTCSTTCTCCGCGCATCCTTACGAACGTCAGTACACTTACCTCAAGGGCATGGTGGGTGGAAGCACCAAGCCCACCGCCCTTTTGTCAAGGGGTAGTGCTAGGCCAGAAAATACGAGCTTGGTGGAGCACAGGGAGGAGGAGGAGGTGGTGACGACAGTCACCTCTGAGAGGGAGCGCGAGCGCAGGGAGACTCGGCACGAGGAAGCTCACAGCAAAAAGAGCGATAAGGATGACAAGTCTATTTCCCTGCATCGTGTGCATCAGAAAAGCGGCAGGTCTCATTACAGTGGGAGTCGTCAGTATATGCGAATTGTGAACTACTGGTGGGAGCAGCCGCAGAAGAATGGCTGGGAGATGCTGCATCCATCGGTCATATGAACAAGTCTTATGTGATGGCATTTCACCAGTCCGGAAAGAACTCTCGCAATATGAGGAGCTACTGGGAGTTCTCTGCTCCAAGTCATCTGATAAACGTGATGTCAAGAAATCCCTAGTGGCAGCCAAGGATATCATCGGCGAGTCCTCAAGGTTGGTATACGTCGTCTACCTGCTGATGAACTATACTCCCGTCCTGTCTACCCGATGATGCACCCCTCCTCGCGCTCCTCTGCTCCTTTCCTTCTTTGCCCCTTGTTCTGTGGCTCTCTCCCCCTTTTGTCATGCTCCTCTCCTGCGACGGGGGGTTCCTTTTAGCGCCCTCCCGCTGTGTTCTCCTCACACCAATTTCCTCCTGCGTTGGCCTCTGTTCCCTCGACCACCCTCCTTATCTCTGGCTGTCATCAGACGGCTCCCTCCCATTGACGCTTAGTCTTCATCAGACGACCTCGTTTTCCTTGCCCCTCTCTCGCTGCCATCATCCCAACGCCTGCATCCTTGGAACCGTCCCCGTAATGCTTCCCGTTCTCGTGGCCTGTTCTACCTGTGGTCCTTGGTCCACCACTCACCGAGTGTCGGATATACAGGCTCGAAATATGCGCGGGCAGTTTTGCACATGGGAAAAGTATAAAGATGCTGATTGTCTGTCTTTCGCTATTTTCATTCGTAGGCAGCAACCCGTGCCATCATCTACGAATCAGCTCCGTAAATGGTCGTAAACCAGCGGTAGAGGCCCAAGAGCGCCGTGTCATTGTGCTGTTCCACATGTGAACTAACGGTAGGGGGCCATGTCATTGTGCTCTTCCGCGTGTGGATTTTTCTTTGTCTGTACGTGACCCTCTGCAGCTGGACTGCCAGCCAAGAGTATTGTTCCACCAAGTCGCAGAGAAAGTATCTTGCAGGGGCGCTGCTAAAAAAGCGGGCAGAGAACATGGCTGAGCTACACGGGAGAGTGACAGAAGCTCAGTGGCTTGCGAACACCACGGATGTCAGTTTTGACGAAATGCACGATGCTCTGGATCTCCGCAAAGATCAGCTGGCCAGCGTCTATAATGCTTGAAAGGAACTGGCTTTCATCACAAGCATTGCAGGTAAGAATCTTCACTTCGTTGTGCGTTGTGCTGAACTGTGGAGCGCTCATACGGAAAATTAGAGAAGCACAGTCGACTGGAAGCTCACGCGTTTGTCTTGGGAAGTTGGGATCAAATCAACACTTAGTGCCTTCTTCAGAACCTCTCTCTCTCATGCAGTCAAGCGAGGAGCGACCTATCAATTTTCATTTCGAAGCGGGATTAGATTAATACAATTGCCTAAAGAGTGACGGAGGCAGTAGTGCTTCACGAATAATTTGTCTTTCTGTTGTTTCTCACTCCTTTCTTTGTGTACGAACACCAATCCGTTTCTGTGTGTTTCTCTCATGTCCCTTTATCTCCGTTCCTCTCTCTCTCTCTCTCTCTCTCTCTCTCTCTCTCTCTCTCTCTCTCTCTCTCTCTCTCTCTCTCTCTCTCTCGTTTTCCTTGTTTCTGTCCGCCTCCTTGCATGTCTCTGTGTGGCTACGCTGACATGTCTCTGTCTCACAGTTTTTCCTTCTGTCCTTGTTTCTCTCTGCTTCCTTCCATGTCCGTGTCCTCTCACTTGTTTGGTCTGCTGGTTTCACTCGAGCGTCTATTTTTTGGCTGGATGGGCTGCGTAACTTACTGAAGTTCTTGGTTTATGTTCACGAGTTGTTGCTGGCCTGGTTTGCAGTTTACTGAGCCCCGAGGCATTGGTGTCGCTCTGTCGCTGTGGATGGTCTCTGGGTGTGTTTATTTTTCCTCTATGCTTATTTCGATTTTCTGATCCTGGTCTTTTGCCGGCCGTTAATTCGCAGAGTTTCTGAAGGAGGCAACAAAGCATCGCTCCTCGCTTGCCTGCACTCTGATGGAGGGGGCGAAGCACATTCTGGCAGCTGTCCAGGCTATTGCCGACGTCAAGTTCCGAAAGCTGCGAGTTCGCAAACAACTCCCACAGCGTGCCCTTGCTCTATACAGTGTCATCAGGAAGATCGAGCGGAAGGTGGACTCGGAAGACGTGGAAGGTTACCTTGAGGTTGTGAAGGGTCATGCTCACGACAAGCGCGCGGAGAGGAGGCAGTTCCGTAAGCACCAAGAAAAGATAAGAACGAGGGGAGATGAGGGGCGTAAGCAGAAGTCCTACGATGGAAGTGTTTGCCCCCGTCTGACTGTTCGTTATCTGATTCGGAGGTCACAAGCGGCAGCGTACTTTTGTTGTCGAACTCGTCTGATTCTGATTCCCTCCTACTTTCCTCCTCTGACGGTTGTTGTTCTGATCGGAAGAGGCGGAGCCGTCATCGTCGTCACCGCATTGCCAGGCATTGTGATTGCCGCTTGGAGCGCGAGCGCTGGGCGTCCTCCTCCGACTCTGACTCTGACTGTGTCAGCTATGCGAGCAGGGACTCTGATTGGTTGTCTGGTGGCGAATCATCCAGCTGTTGGTCGGCATTGAGCTCCGACGAGGGGTGTGTGCCTGTGCCTGGCGAGGAGAAAGGCAGGCACATAGTGGAGGCCAAGGTCGTGCACATTGACGCTGTCATGCGGCAGGTTCTGATACACCTGTTCTCCGACGTGTGTAAGAGCGATGCCAACGCTCTGACCTGGAGGAAAGACCTCAATTGGCAGGTGCGCATGCAGACCTGGTTTAAGATCGGCTGGGATGTGGTCCACAAGATCGATCCAGCCATCAAAGAGGGGGAGCTGAAGAGTCTTCTCAGGAGCTGGGGTCTGAAGGACAATCTGTCCGAAGCGCAGGCCGTTGAGGTTCGCACCTTGAAGCACCTTAAGAAGGTTGCTGGGTTGCCCTCAAAGTTGTTTTCCCCACCGGCTCGACGTTCGTCCTGCGATGGC